GAAGGAAGGAAGGAAGGAAGGAAGAAAGAAAGAAAGAAAGAAAGAAAGAAAGAAAGAAAGAAAGAAAGAAAGAAAAGAAAAGAAAGAAAACAATTCAAAAAGTCAAATCTAACTTGTTTTTAAGTCTAACTTTGTATTGTTATCCATCGTGCTGACTTTTAAAAGCTTCTGAACTTGTACATCAACTGTAAAATATCAAAGGAATTAACCAACAGAATGAAGAGACAACCTGAAAAATGGGAAGACATGTTTGCCAGCTACTCAGAGGATTTTTCAAAAAACTAAAATTACAAACTCCATTCAAGTCAGCTATTTCCTTTCTAGGTATTTTCCTCAAAGAGTTAAAGACATCGTATCATATCTGCAAACCTAGGTATTCAGCAGCATACTTCACAATACCTCAATCTTGGAAGCAGCCTGTATGTCCATCAACAGATAAATGGATAAAAAAAAATGTGGTATTTATAAACAACGGGGTATTACTCTGTCATAAAGAATAAATTTGTGGGCCGGGGATTTAACTCAGTGGTTTCGCCACCTGCTGCGCAAGCACAAGGACCCGAGTTCCATCCCTAGTACCAAAAAAAACCAAAAAAGAATAAATTTGTGCTGGGGATGTAGCTCAGTGGCACTGTGCCTGCCTCATAAGCTCAAGGTCCTGAGTTCAATCCCCAGTACAGAAAGAAAGAAAAAAACAAAACAAAAAACTTTATCCCATAAAGAATAAATCTGACTCATTTGTCAGAAAATGAATGCACCTTGAAACATTAAATGAATCAGACACACAAATGTCACGTGATTTCTCTCATATGAGAAACTCAAAGTATAAATAATGAGCAAAATAAAAGATAACAAGAAACTGAGATAGATCTTTTGCAAATGGGAAGAGGACCAAGAGATGGGGGGAGCGAGATAAAAATAATTAAGATGTTTTATGTATATGTACCAACTCCCCACCATGAATGTAACCATTATGTACAGTAAATGCACTAATAAAATTTTTTTTAAGTTATAAAATATTATTTAATATAAACCACACTAAAATGTCTTTCAGTAAGTAAAAGGCACGATTTTAGATACAGAAAATTCTAATTAAATTGGCAGTCAAGGCCAAAAATATCAAGTAGACATTGCTTCCTTACCTTCAGGCATTAATGGGCTAATGAACCCAAGTTGAAACACAAAAGTCTTATTCAGTTTTGAGATAAAGGATTTACCCAGTATCTAAACCTACTTACATAAAGCTATATACATCTAAATATAAAACCAATAGTCCCTAGGTTTTGAGATGGCATGCCTTATCTTTGTGAAATTTAACATTAATAACCAAGTACGATCATATCTTTAGAAAGGGAAAATCGTAATGGACAGAGGTTACTAACAAAAATTTTTCACATGATCATATTAACTATTAATTACTTAAATCGGAACTGTCCAACAAAAATATTGTCATCACTCATGTTCATGATCTGAATTCTGGTAAATGAGATCAATTAAATTATGCTACACCTTTTTTTTTTTCTTTTTTGAGCCAGGATCTCCCTTTGTAGTTCAGGCTGGCCTCAAACTCCCAGTGATCCTCCTGCCTCAGCCTCCTGAGTGCTGGGATTTCAGGCGTGCGCCATTCCCGGATACACCCTTTATTTTTTTAAAGCCACGACATATTCTCCTTTATAATAAATAAGGCAAGGGCTCCTACACAGCAAAGGCCTTTTTTTTTTTTTTTTTTTTTTTGGTACCTGGGATCGGACTCAGGATCTTGCACTTGCGAAGCAGGGGCGGTGCCACTGAGCTAAATCCCCAGCCTACCAATAGCTTTTTTTTTTTCACCAATAGCTTTTTAAAAATTAACCCCTTAAGTCTGCCCTTACCTCCTCACTCTTTTGGGAAGGAGGTGAGCCACGGGGTGGAAAGCAGTCTCACACAGGCCAGGAAAGCTCTCTATCATTAAGCAACACTAGAGCCCTATCATTTTGAAATAAGGTTTCCCTAAGTTCCCCAGGCTGACCTTGAACTTGCCAGGACTTTTTTCTAAATCACATTATCTGCATTTTCAAACCTTATATCGCAAGTCAGTATTTCACCAAACCTTGTCTCCAAGCCACCAAGATCAGCTGAACTGTAATCCCACTAATAACCACAAGGGCGAGACGCGAGCAGCATCGCGTTCTTACGCGGAGCCTTGGAAATAGCAAGACCTAGGCGAAGAGGCGGCCCGTAGGGCCGGCGTGGGCGACGCAGTAGCAGTGACGCGAGTCCTCCACCCACCGATGAAGGACTAGGGCCGGCGAGCTCGGGTTCCGCTCCCAGCAGCCCGCCGCTGCTCCATCCTCCCCCGACCCTGACGCGACGCGGCTCCTCCGGCGAATGGCGGGGCCCAGGAGCCCGCGCTCCCCGGGGCGAGGCGAGCGTGGAGCGCCCCACGGCCCTCGGCTACCCCAGTGCCCTCTTCCCGCGGCCCGGGCCGCCCGCCCGGCCTCGCCCTCGCCCTCGCGGGGGCTCACAACCACTGGACAGCAAGGACGCGAGGCATCGAGCCCGCGGCTGTCCTCGGGTCGCGTCGGTGGGAGCCCGGCGACAGCAGGCGGCCCCACCTCAGCGCCTCCGGCAGTCCCAGCCCCAAGAGCCCCACGCCCAGGAGCCGAGTCGCAGCCGGTGTGGCGGGCGACGCCACTCGAGCTCCCGACCCTGGCGGACGCGGTGGGTGGGTGGGGGCGGGGCGGGCGCACGGAGGGGAGGGGACGCGGCCCGAGTAGAGGGCCGGCGGAGGGAGAGTGGGAAGGGAGGGCCGGAGGTGTGGCCCGCGTGTGACTGACAGGCGTTCGGACCACCCTGCCGAGGGCGTCCTGAAGGAAGGCCAACCTAGCCAATGGACGTGCCCAAGACGCCCTGGCCCGCCTCCGCGAGCAGCCAATGAAAGCGCGAAGGGCGGGGCCTCTGCGGGCTCGGCCGTGCCACCGCCTCCGCCTCCTCCTCCTCACCAGCGCTAAAGCCGGGACTGGACCGAGCGGAGTTGTGCGTGTCGCCGAAGGGGGGTGGGCCGGGGGAGGGGAGGTTCGTTCCGCGGAGCCCGTAGCCAGAACCGGGTGAGGTTTATCCCCGCTGTCTGTCCAGTCCAGGGCTGCCGAGAGTGGGGGTGGCTGGGAGCGGCGCAGCCTCCGGAGGAGGAGGCGGAGGCGGAGATGGGTGAGGGCGGCCTCCGGAGCCTCCCCCCGACCCGTGCTTAGCACCCCGCGGCGCGGACGCCGTGGCCGCTGCGCGTCGGGGCCTCGGGGCTGCTGGGTGCTGCGCTCATGTCCCGGGCTCTCTGGCGTGCGGCCCGAGGGCTGCGGGAGTGCGGGCGCGGCTGGGCTAGCCGGGTGAGGCGGACGCCAGGGCTAGGGTCGCGGAGCGGCGGGGCTGCGGGGCGGGGGCGGCGGGAGGTCGCGAGTGTTTTCCTTTCTCTCCGGTGGGGGACCGGGGAGGTGCTCCGGCCGGCTGGCTGCTCTCGGGGTCGCGCTCCGACCCCTTCGGCCCGAGCTGGAGTCGCCAAGTTTTCCGGGGCAGGGGCTGCCGTCTGCGCCCTGTCGGGTGCCGTCTTACGCGGTTTCCAGCCAGATTGGGCGAGTTTTAATGGCGGACCTGGAGGCCGTCCCCAACGGCCGGACCAACCTCGGCTCAGGGCTTGACTCGCGGCGAGTCTTGTCCTGCGGTGACGTCAGCCGTCCCGGTGCTGAGCTCGCGCGCGGGAGGATTGCGCGGGCCAGATCTTGGAGGGAATCGGAATCTGTTCCTGGCTTCAAGGCAACGTTTGCCCTTCCCTTTGGCTCCCTCGGCTCACCTCACTCGCCCACCCCGCCCCCGGTGCTTGTAATTTGTAGTAACCTATTTAGCTTTGTCTTCCTGTTGGGGCCCATGTAGTGTTCTTAAAAGTTGATTTCTTCACAACATGGGAGCTCGGTGGAGTAGCACAGAAACTTCTTGACCTTTACGTCCTCCCTCTGGTGTCGGGTAGTTGGTACTGCATCCTGGTTTGTTGTAATTTTTTTATATATATATTTATTTTTTACTCATTCTAGAACCAGGATTCTCCTTAAGGTTATTCTGCTGAAGCTTTGGCAGAAATTAAGAAGGAAAACATCTCTATTGTGAGTCATTTTATTCCACTTTTCTGTTTAATATACTTAAGACCAAAGTTAGATGTTCATCATTCTGTGAGGTTCGCCATTCTTGAAAGCAAACAATTATTGCTTGAGTGGCCCCTGTCCCCACAGCCAAGCTAGATTAGGCACTGGGAGTGGGTGCTGCCATTTACACTAATGCTACTGTCTGGGCTCCCAAAACAGAACTAAAGCACTCGTTTTATGAAATGCTTTACGTTTAATGTTTTTGTTTTTCATTTCAGCAGACAGATTTTTTTCTGCTGCATTTTTTAAACTACTTCAAAAAATAATAATTTTAAGAATAAAACATTAAGAGAAAAATAGAATGATTTGTGTGTGGGGTTTTTTTTTTTAGTGAGTTTGTGGTACAGAATAGTGATGTTCATTTTGAGGAATTGGCACAGTACGTGCATATAATTTAATCTGACCATTTTCATTCCCTTTACCCTTGTCTCCTTTTCCTCCTATCCCCTTCTCCAACAGTTTCCCTTCTAATTTTCTGTTGTATGTTCTTTATTTATTTATATTTTTGATTTCTCATATAAGAGAAAACATATTATACTTAACTTTCTGGGCCTGGCTTATTTTACTTATGATGGTGGTATTGAATTCTATCCGTTTTCCTGCAAATGACATGTTTTCATTCTTTGTGACTGAATAATATTCCATTATGTAAACACACCACATTTTCTTCATCCATTCATCTGTTGATAGGTATCTAGGCTTTCAGGACTTACCTATTGTAAGTTGTGCCACCATAAACGTGGGTATTCCTATATCACTATGATATGATGTCTTTAATTCTTTCAGGAGTATACCCAGGAGAGGCATAGCTAGGTCAAATGGAATTCTTATTTTTAGTTTTTTGAGGAATCTTCATACTGATTTTCAGTTATGAAAATTGTTCTCCATTCCCACCACCCACCCTACCAGCCTTCATTGATTTGTGTGTGTGTGTCTATGTGTGTGTTCTTGTGGTAGCAATTTTGACTGGGGTAAGGTGAAATTTCAAAGTTGTTTTGATTTGCATTTCCCTAATGGCTCAAGATGTTGGGCATTTTTTTATGTACCTTTGGCCATTTGTACTTATTTTGAGAAGTGTCAGTTCACTTCATTTGCTTGTTTCTTGATTGGATCATTTGTTTTTTCAGGTGTGTGGTTTTATTTTTTGGTGTTTTTTGTTTGTTTTCAGTTCTTTATATAGTCTAGCTATTAGTCTTCTTTCTTTTTTTTCTTTTTGAAACAGGGTCTTGCTAAGTAATTCAGGCTGGTCTTGAACTCACTATGTAGCCCAGGCTGGCCTGGAAAGGTGATCCTCCTGTCTCAGCCTCCCAAGTGCTGGGATTACAGTTGTGTGCAACCATTTCTGGCATGCTATTAGTCTAATATCAAAAGAGTAATTAACAAAAATTTTCTTGTATATTTTCTCTTCACTGTGTTTATTTTTTCCTATACTATGCAGAAATTTTAATCTGATGTAATCTCATGTTAATTCTTTTCTTTTTTTTCTTTTTTTTTTTTTTTTGGTACCAGGGATCGAACTCAGGACCTTGCACTTTCAAGGCAGGCAGCAGAACCACTGAGCTAAATCCCTGGCCCCTCATGTTAATTCTTTTTTTTTTTTTTTTTCTCATGTTAATTCTTGATACTATTTCCTGTGCTGTTGGAATTCTCTTCAGGAAATTTTCAAGTTTATGTCTTCAAGTGTTCCCCCTGTGTTACCCTCCAGGAGTTGCAAAATTTCTCTATTTTTGTCTGGTCTTTGATCTAGTTTGATTTGATTTTAGTACAAGGTGAGAAATAGAATCTAGTTTCAGTCATTTGCAAGTCATCAAGTTTTCCTAGCACCATTTGTTGAAGAGGCTATCTTTTCTTCCAGATTTTTTTGACCCCTTTGTCAAAAATCAGATGGTCTTGTTGCACAGGATGGTTTCTGTGAGTTCTGTTCTAATGGTTTACATGTCTGTTTTTGTGCCATTACCAGGCTGTTTTTATAACATAGTTTTGAAATATAATTTGAAGTCCAACATTGTGATGCCTACAAATTTGATCTTTTTGCCCAGGATTGCTTTGACTATTCTGCCCATATTCTGGTTTCATGCAAATTTTATTTTCTTTGTTTTTTTATGTGTTTAACTAGAGATTGAGCCCAGAGCCTTCACACTGAGCTATATCACCAGTCCCATCTGTCCCCTGAGAAAGACTGATTTATGTATGTTGACAGTCTTCCAGTATGCATTACATCAGAGGATATATAATCTAGTTGTAGCACTATTCCTGATACTAAGATTGAATGTGACTTGGTTGATTCATTATGGTTAATGGGTTTTTTTTTTCCTGCCAGAACATGCTATACATGTTCATATGCTCATTTCTCTGTCATTATTCCTTTAATGGTTTTGACACCCATGATGACTCATTTTACAAAACTCTGTTTATACCTTCATTATCTAGGATTCTGTTGTTTCTTAGATCTTGGCTGTTGTATCCTTTCAACCTTGTTCAAACAGTTTTCCATTGCTCCACAAAACTCAGTTATTGAGTCGGGGATTTAGCTCAGTGGTTCCACTGCCTGCCTCGAAAGCACAAGGTCCCGAGTTCGATCCCCAGTACCAAAAAAATCACAACAGTTATAAAAGATGAGCACAATAGCACAGATGTGTAATATCAGTTACAGGGAAGCTGAGGCAGGAGAATCAAAAGTTGGAGGGCCAGAGATTTAGCTCAGTGGTGCTGCGCCTGTGTCACAAACATGAGGTCCTGAGTTCGATCCCTAGTACCAAAAAAAAAAAGCTGGAGACCAGCCTGGGCAATACAAAATCCTGTCTCAGAAGTAAAAAAAAAAAGGCTGGGGGTGGTGCTTGCCCAGTATATACAAAACCCTGGGTTCAATCCCCGGGACAGTGTACATACATGCAGAAGGAAGCCTGTGATTAGTTCATCCCACAGTCTTCCATAGCAGTATTGCAGCCTTCCCTTTGCCGGTGTTGCTCCCTGCCCACTTATAATTACATTTACTTTGTTTCCCTCTTTATTTTCCTCCCTTTTTAGTTAGTGATTGAACTGAGAGCCTTGCACATGTTTACCAAAGATACTGTTTCAAGTGGGTAATTTTTATAATATGCCTGAAGCAATAATATTTCATATTTCATGGTAGAAGTTTAGTGAGATGATGGGATGTGGATGTGGTTCTAGAACTCTTAATGGATTTACGTAGAGAAAGGAAACGAGGGACTAGAAATTGGCAAGGTAGCATGTCACTGACTCAGTTACTAGAGCTTCACTTACAGAGCCGTTTTTCCAGTTATTTGCAGCATACTGTAATGCAGTGATGATGAACCTTTTAGAGACAAGTGCCCAAACTGCAACCCAAAACCCACCTATTTATCACAGAGTGCCAACAATGCAATTGAACCTGAATACTGAGTTTTTAGTTTAGCAAAAAACAACTCATACATTAGCATCTTTTGTTTTAAAAGAAAAACAACATACATGCCATGGTTTCACCACCACTGTTGTAGTGCAAAGAACATAGTGTTGGTGCCAGCCAGATTAAGATTCATACCTGCTCTTATTGGGTGATGTGGTTTAGTGGTAGAGTGCTTGCCTGGCATGTGCAAGGCCTGGTTACCATCCCCAGTGCCACAAAAAAGTCTCAAATCTCTGCTGTCTTTACTTTTTGTTGTCTCTTTTTTTCTGAACCTTTATGAAGCACATTTTATGAATGAGTGAATTAAATCTATCTTCCCAAGGTTGATGATTGAAAGAATCAAAAAGCAGGTAAAGTGCCTTGGCAATAAGTTGTGGAACACACACGTATTTAGTGAATAGTAGATAGATTGGGAGGGGTTGCCAGGAATTGAACCTAGGACCTGGTTCATGCTAGCAAGTGGTTTACCTAGAGCCCCATCCCTGTTATTTATCTTTGTAAGAGTGTTATTTGAATGTTAGTTTTATTATTGTAATGAATTGGTTCACCGTAATAAAAGATAAGTAATTTTTAAACATTGTTTTCATCTTAATTCAATTTAATATGGTGGCTATGAAATAGGTTCTAGGGTCAAATTTCTTGGATTTGAATCCTTATTCTACCTTTTCCAACAGTGGAGAGTTGGGCAGATTACTTCTGAGTCTTAGTTTCCTTATTGATAAGGTAGAAAAACTATGACATAGCACGTTAAGAATAGAATGTGAGGGGCAACCCACTTTCCAGTCCCCCTTCTGTCTCTCTTAGAAGCTTTCTTTCTCTCAATAAATTTTTCCTACTCTTAAAAAAAAAAAAAAAAAAAAAAAGAATAGAATGTGAGGGGGGTTAGCTCAGTGGTTCCGCTGCCTGCTTCGAAAGCACAAGGTCCTGAGTTTGATCCCTGGTACCAAAAAAAAGAATAGAATGCGGGGGATGATGGTACACATCTGTATGTAGTCCCAGCAGTTGGGAAGATGAGCCAGGAGTATCTCTGCCAGTTTGAGGCCAGCTTGGGCTGCATAGTGAGTTCAAGACCAGCCTGAACTACATAACGATAACCTGTCTATAAATAAATAAATATTACCCATTACATGGCTGTAACTCTTACCAATTAAAATTTGGAAAACTTTAAAATAAAAATAATACGTTATTTGAAACAGAATAATGGCTGCCTTATGATGTGAGTTTTCTTAATTGTTGAGTTTACTGTTCAGTTCCCCCACCCCTTTTATGTACTTTCAATTTTCTACTCTCCTGAGAAAAGACTAGCAATGTATAGACTACCTCAATTTCCCATTAATCATTTCTACATACTTGTATACATTTTAATTATACTTAGCTTGCCCTCTTGCTGTTAAGATAGGGGTTGTTTTTATGCCTGTGTAATTGTCCTACCACCTATGCATGTCTTCAGTTCTCATTTGCTCAAGAGCAGTGTTCCTTCAGTTATTCACATCTCTAGATTCAACTATTGTCTCTCTCTGCATCCCTTCATCATAGCATAGTGTATTAGGTACACTTTTTTTTTTTTTTGGTGCAAGGGATCAAACTCAGGACCTTGTGCTTATGAGGTAGGTGCAGAGCCACTGAGCTCAATCCCTGGCCCAGGTACACTTTTTTTGAGACAGACTCTTGCTATGTAGAGTTTTGACAGTCCTTGAACTCACTATGTAACCTACATTGGCCTTAAACTCACAGTGATCCTCTTGCCTCAAGCTGTGTCACTACGCCTGGCACAAATGTTTGTTGAATATAGCAAGAGTAGTCAAGAACTTGGGACCCCACCAAGCTTGGTGGCACATACCTGTGACCCCAACACTGAAGAGGCCCAGGCCGGAGGATTTCTGAGAATTTGAGGCCAGCCTGGGCTCCATAGTGAGTTCAAGGCCAGCCTCAACTACGTAGTGAGACCCTATTTCCAAAAAAAAAAAATTTTGTGGCCTAGAGTTGGATCCCTGAATTTAAGTCATACCTAGATTTATCTAGAACAATCTAGTTTGCTTCTCTAAATCTCAATGTTTTGATCTTTAAAATAGATAGAGTAAATTACATTGATCATTATGATGGTGTTCTGAGAATTTTACATAAAATATTCGTAACATAATACCTAACACAGAGGGACGTGAGATTCCTAGGTAAGGAGAAGAAAGATTTAAAGGCAGGAGGATCACAAGTTTGAGGCCAGTCTCAATCCACCAAAAAAAATGAAAGATTTTCAAATTTCGCCTCTACTGTTTACTTCATTGCAATAAAATGTGAAACTAAGGGTTTTTTTCTTTTCTCTGTCTCTTACAGGTTGTTTGGCATGGACGATCCCTCAATGGGAAGATTAGACTTGACTGACCATGCTCACGCTGTATTAGGGAGTACAGCCATGACAGCTAGTCTCATGAACATAGGGATTTCATGTGGTGATCCCACAAGTCCTTTAGTCAATAGATCTAGAAACTCATCAGTGGAAGATGATGATGATGTTGTATTTATTGAATCTATACAACCTCCTTCAATTTCTGCTCCAGCAATAGCTGATCAAAGAAACTTTATGTTTACATCATCAAAACATGAAAAGCCACAAGGAAATTGTCCTGTAATTCTGCCATTCTCAAGAGATTTGGCTTGTCAGAAAGGAAATATGTGTGAGACAATTGTTATTGATGATGAAGAGGACATAGAAACAAATGGAGGGGAGAAAAATTCTTCCAGTAATACTGGGTGGGGACTTCCTGGAACTAAAAACAGCACCAAAGATTTGGATTTCTCCACATCCAGTCATTCAAGAAGTAAGGTAAATGCAGGAATGGGTACTAGTGTTATCACTACAGAACCAGACTCTGAAATGCATATTACTAATGTTACAGCATTAGAAACAGGTGTAAGCTGTGAATGCTGGGCGAGATATGAACTTAATCACACTTTATAACAGCACTGTAGAATGCCAACTTGGGAGATACGCTAACAGACTGCAGTCAAGTAATTTTGGTGTTAATATACAAACATACACCCCATCTTTAACTTCACAGACCAAGACTGGAGTAGGACCTTTTAATCCTGGTAGAATGAATGTGGCAGGAGATGTATTTCAGAATGGAGGATTTACAACTCAGCATAATCCTGGTAAGTAGTAGGTAATATTTGCCTTCTACTTCAAGTAAATAAACTTCTAGCTACTATTTTTTGGTTTTGGTGTTGGTTTTTAGAGACAGAGTCTTGCTGTGTACCTTGGCCTCAACCTCCAAAGTGCTGGGATTACAGGTGTGTGCCACCACACCTGGTTTATATTTGTAACTTTTATTTACATACTATATGAATTATTTCTCTTTCTTTAGCATTAGGACTATTTTATACAACTGTACAGTCTACTTGGTCTCTGAAATTTGGAGATGTTAGCCATATTTACATTTAAAATGTCATATACCTCAAAGCTATTACAACCACTATTGGGTTTTGTTTGGGGGGGCTTTTGTTTTGTTTTGTTTTGTTTCTCTTTTGAGATGGTCTCTCTGTGTAGTTGAAGCTGGCCTTGAACCCACTATGTAGCCCAGGCTGGCCTCAAACTCTCAGAAATCCTCCTGCCTCAGCCTCTCAAGTGCTAGGATTATAGGTGTGTGCCACCATGCCCAGCATTAATGTTTATTTTAATATAAAAATTGTTCTGGGGCTGTAGCTCCATGGTAACACTTCCTCCTCAGTATGCCTGAGGCCCTGAGTATAATCCCCAGCAACAAAAATAAAATAAGTAAATATTGTAGAATTAGAACATTAATAGTAAGCTAGAAAAACAAAGTGAAAATTTAGCAATTCCTTTCTGTGGCTTTTCCAGGACTCACGTGGATTGAGGTGGGAATTAGTACTTTTTTTTTAGCATCTTAATGCTTTTTGGCTTTTTGAATTTTAGGAAATGACTGAAAAGTAACTAGAAGAACCTAAAAATCTCATCACTTGTTCCTGCTTTAATGGAATGCTAGTATATTTTCTTTGGAAAGATATTTTTCATCTTTTCCTCTGGTTATGGAAATACTATGTAATACCTGTAATCTTCCTGCCTTAGCCTCTGAATGCTGGTATTACAGGCATTTGCCACCATGCTCAGCGATAAATATTTTTAATGAAAAAGTAAATTTAAAATTTACTTTTTAAAATTGAAAAAATAAAATTTAAAAATGTAATAAAAGAATAACATTGTTATACAAATCTCCTTTAAAATCTGCATTAATAGAAAATAATGAAGCATGTCTAGCTTGTTACATCAGTTTCTACATTAAATCTCTTGGAATCTTGTTTGCAGTATAAGAAAAATTCTGATTGGAGAAGAGTATAGTAGTTTAATAGTCTTTAGATAGTTATGAGTAGCCTTTTTTTGGCCTAGCACCAAAATTCGATAGTTTTTTGGGGTTTGTTTGTTTTTGTTGTACTGGGGGTTGATCTCTCAGGCCCTTCTCACTGAGCTACATCCCCAGTTTTTTTATTTTGGGATGGGTCTTGCTAAGTTGAACCAGCTAGGCTCAAATTTGTGATCACTCTGCCTCATCTTCTCAAAGTGCTGTGATTACAAGAATAATTAGTAGTTTTTGGAAGTTCTTTGCCACATGTGTTGGTGCGTACCTGTAATCCCTGCTACTCTGAAGTCTGAACCAGAAAGATCACAAGTTGAAGTGCAGTCTGGTATATAGTGAATCCAAACCCAGTGTAAACTATATAGTGAGGCCCTGTCTCAAAAAATGGAATCTGAAACTATATGATGAATTTTTATATTCTATTGCTTTAAAATCTATCAGTTTTTGCATAGATTTTTCACATTTGTGTGATTTAGTATATTAGTTATTTAGAAAATAATGATTCACTCAGTTACACAGATCTTCTAAATGTTGATGCTTCAGTTGTCAAAAGCACAGTGTATACAGGTTTTCAAAAGTTCTTATTTTTTCTTGAAGTGACAGGCTCCCTTGATTTTTTTTTCCGGTACCAGCGATTGAACTCAGGACCTCATGTTTGCCAGACAGGCGCTGTGCTGCTGAGCTAAATGCCCGGCTCCCTTGATTCATTTTTAACAAAATGTTTCCCAATAGCTATAGTTTATCATTCTCTCAAGTAAAACTGGTATTTCATGAAAATAGCTATTTCATCTCTATATGGAAGTGCTTTTTTCCTTTTCCTTAAGATAACTGTTCTTTGGTATGAAACAGATGCTTTATACATGTTTCCCGTTTGTCAGACAGAATATTAAGGTGTAGTCAAAGACTGAAATTTAGTAAAACTAATAACATTTACTGTCAGCTGAGGGTATAGCTTAGAGTGCTTGCCTAGTGTGTGAGTGGTCCTTGGTTAACTATAGCCAGCATTGCAAAGGAAAGGGAGAAAATGAGTGATTTTTACTGTTTCATCAAAGATGAGAAATTTAAGACTGTGGGTACAACTCAGAGGTAGAATACTTGCTTACTGTGCATAAGGCCCTGGGTTGATTCCCAGCACTGCCAAAGAAATTTGTTTTGTTTTGTTTTGGTTAACACCCTTTGTCCCTGGCTCCTGGGAGGGAGAATCTAAATTCTTGAAATTTTCTAAGTGTTAGAAATGCCTTTTGCTTTCGTGAGTCCCTTGGAACATATTTGAATATATGCTAAGTAATAAGATAATTCAGGATGGATCACCTATGTGAGTAGAGACTTGGAGATTTTCGGGTAGCCTAAACTCTGGGAAGGAAGGCAAGCTGGAAATTGAGTTTAGTCACATTTCCAGTGACTAGCTCAATCATTCCTATGAAATGAAACCCCTGTAAAACTACATACATTAGCTCAGTGCTATCCTCTTGGTTGGTGAATTCATCAGTGTGCCAAGAGGGTAATACTACTTACTACCTGATTCCACAGAGAACTAGTTTGGAAGCTCTACATTTAGGACCCTCCCGGACTTTGTCCAATGTATCTCTTCATTTAGCTGTTCCTGATTTATATCCTGTATAATAAAATTGAAATTTTAAGTGTAGAACATTCTTCGGTTCTGTGAGTCGTTCTAGCAAATTATCAGTCCTTGGCAGGAGAAGTAGATCTTATGAGCCTTTCAGATTTGTAGTCAGTTGAGCAGAAGCTTAAGTGGTATCCAAAGTTTTGTTGGGGACTGTGTCTTTAAACCTGTGGGGTCTGATGGCTTATTCTGACTGCTTAGCCTCAGAATTGTATGCAGGCATACTAGCTGGTATTAGAATAATATCCTTAAATAAACGACATTTGGTGGGTTTTTTTGTTTTTTGGTTTGTTTGTTTTGGTACCGGGAATCGAACTCAAGACCTCTCGCTGGCCAGGCAGGTGCTGTGCCTGCTGAGCTAAATAACTGGCCCAGACATTTGGTTTTTATAAGTGCATGATTCTGAACTTTTTTTTTTTTTTTTGGTGGCTCTAGGGATTGAACCTAGGGTCTCCCACATGCTAGGCAAACACTTTTGTTGAGCTACATCCCTACCCCTTCTTTTTAAAATATGAGGCAAAAAAAATAATAATAAAATAAAAAATTAGGCAGAGGGGCCTGGGATTTAGCTCAGTGGTTCCGCCTCCTGCCTCGAAAGCAGAAGGTCCTGAGTTTGATCCCCGGTACCAAAAAAAAAAAAAACAATTCATTAAAATATGAGGCAGAGGGCCGGGGATTTAGCTCAGTGGAGCCACTGCCTGCCTCGCAAGCGCAAGGTCCTGAGTTTGATCCCCAGTACCAAAAAATAAAATAAAATAAAATAAAATATGAGGCAGAGTTTTACTTAGTTCCCCAGGCTCAGCTTGCAATTCTACCACAGCCTCTCAGGTAGTGGGGATTACGGGCGTGCATCACCACGTATTGCCCATGATAACAAATTTTGTTGTCTATGAAATACAGCCTAAAGGTCTTATTTTTGAAGACACAGGACTGTGTTGTGTAAAGATTCAACCAGACATAGGGTTAAATGCCTGTAATTCCAGCATTCTAGAAGGCTGAAGCAGAAGAATTGCAAGTTGAAGCCTAGCTTGCACAATTTGTGTCTCAACAAGACCTTTTCTCAAAACACAAAAGGGCTAGAGATATAATTCATGAAGGCCCTGAATTCAATGCCCAGTACCAAACAATTTTTTTTCATCCAGGATTCTAAAGAGAATGTTCACATTTATTAGGTAAAGGGTGATGGCAAAGATGTTTGAAGCTGGGCCAGGGTTGTAGCTCAGTGGCACTGTGCCTGCCTTGCAAGTGCAAGGTCCTGAGTTCGATCCCCAGTACCGCAAAAAAAAAAAAAAAAAAAAAAAAAAGATGTTTGAAGCTTTCTTAAAAAGTCACTTCAAAAGTAGTGTCAACACAGTAGAACTGAGGAATTTTGCTAAAGAAATGTGATTTAGTGAGACACAGCAGGTAGAGTGACATGACATGTTCAGGTTTAGACACACTGAACTTGAAGTGACATTCACAGTATATCCTACAGTGAGCCAGAATACATTATTAATGTGAACATACAGTATTGAGAAGAAAAATACACTTGTGATTTACCACCTTTTTTCTCTGATTCTCCAAGTGTTTGAAATGCTAAACATAGAGAATCAGTCCTAAATAAAAAGTGGTTTGAGGTATCAGAAGGAGTCTGCTTTATATCTTAAGGATCAGACAAAAAGTGCATTTCAAGTAAAGTTTTTATTGTGTGTCCTGTGTCACTGGACTGTCACAATCAGACTAATTCTTAAAGTGTTTTAACCATACATGTGAGAATACTTGAAGGCTCTGGACTATAACCCAGATCACCTGTTCAGTTACTTCAGAGAATAATTTCAGAAATACATTATAAACATGAGTACTGATTTTCCCCATCCCTCAGGCTAGCCAAGTGCTCTGCTATTGAACTACATCCCCAAACCCTTTTTTATTTTGAGACAAGATCTTGTTAGTAAGTTACCTATGCTGGCCTCCAATGGGCAGTCTTTCTGCCTCAGCATGTATCATCATGCCCAGCACATATGTAAATTCAATTCTTTTCTTTCTTTTGGCAGCACTAGTGTTGAACCTAGGACCTTTGCACTGAGCTACATCCCCAGCCATTTTTTTTTTTTTTTTTTTTGCAGACAGGGTCTCACTTGAACCTACTACAGAGCCCAGGCTAGCCTCAAACTCAT